TAAAACGTGAGTAGTCATCAACAATAACAAAAGCATATCGTTTTCCTCCTATGCTAGCAGTTCTGGTGGGTCCAAACAAATCTATGTTAAGCAATTGTAAAGGCTTGGTGGTAGGCACAATGTCTTTGCTTTTGAAAGAGTTTCTGGTTTGTTTACCAATTAGACATGCATCACATACGTTTTACTAAATCATGCTTGGAGAGTTTATCAATTAGATGCATGCTTGCATGACCAAGTTTCTTATGCCACAACCATGGATCATCAGATTTAGATGCTAAGCATATGTGACTATCTAGATTTTCAATGCCATAAAGAATGTAAACATTGCCATACCTTTTTTCTGGGAGTATTATTTTACATGACTCATCTTCAATAGCGCATCTTGTTTTCTTGAATTTAACTTCGTACCCTCGCTTCTTCCACCTTGTGCCATGAATAGTTTTCAGTATCTTCTTTTCATTCATCGTCTGATGCATCTTTATCAGTCCAGTAGCACGAGTATCTGTTCATGTCATTTTCTAGAATGGTGATGAAGCACAGATTTGCTATTTCTTCGTGTTCTGAACTATCTTCATCTCTCCAGATTCCGAAAGATTTGTTTTTTTTGAATCCTCTAGAGACCTTTCTTTTAAGATCTAGGCATTCAGCTTGAACATGCCCATACCTTTTATGCTCATAACATTTTCCATCATTCTTGTCTTGTTCATTGTATTGCTTGGTTCGCCTGGATGGCATCCTACCCCTACTTGTATTATGTATCTTCTTATTAAACCATTCATGTTCCTTGATACCATGGCAATCTCTTCTTCAAGAGCTTCTAGGTCGTCATCAATATCATTTGCAGGTCTTTCAATTGTAGCTTTGAAAGCAATTTTTTTCGTCTTTTCTTCCGAATTTGTTTTCTTGAGATGTGTTTTCTCGAATGCAATAAGATCTCCTCGAAGCTCATCATATGAAAGTTTGTTTAGATCTTGAGATTCGAGTGCAACTACTTTTGTCTGCCAAGTGGTAAGTAGACTTCTTAGAATTTTTCCGAACTTGATCACCACTTGAGTAGGGTTTACCAAAGGCTTTTAGATTGATTTTGCTGAACCTTGCAAACATCTCCTCAATGGATGCTCCTTCTTTCATCTGGAAGATTTCTTAGTCATGAACCAACATGTTAATATGAGTTTCTTTTACTTTGCAGGTTCCTTCATAAGTAACTTCCAGTTTATCCCACATTTCTTTGGTTGTATTGCAACTTGAGATTTTCTCATACTCCTTTCTACTTATAGTATTATACAGTAAATTTCGTACCTTAGCATTGACCTGAACAACTACCATTTGCTTGTCTGTGTATTTATCTATATCTTCCGGATCAGCAAGTGGTTGACTTGATGCTTGTAGTGGAAAGTTACCCTTTTTGATAACGTGCCATACTTTGACATCATAGGATTTTGCATATATTTCCATTCGCACTTTCCAGTGAGAAAAGTGTTGTCCATTGAAATGTGGTGGTCTGACTTGCGATGTTCCTTCTTGAAAGAGTGCTCCGACAGTTACTTAATTTACCATGATCTTTTCTCACAAGCCGTTGAACAAAAAGTGTGAGACTAGCTCTGATACTAATTGAAAGTACAAGAGGGGAGGGGGTGAATTGACGATTTTTGTTTTCAGTATTCTAAGTAGTTGACTAGTTTGCCAATTAATCGACTAGAGATAAAACAAAATAATAATAATGCAGAAATGAAGAGCAGAAAATAAAGACACCAGGATTTTTATACTGGTTCGGATTCAATGTGAATCCTACGTCTAGTGCTCTTGGGTTGCAAGGGTGATCTCTTTCGGTATTTGAAGTATCTCGAGTACAAGATGGTTGATGTAGCTTTACACCAATAGCTCAGTTTCTATGTCACCTTTCACTTCTTGATGCAATGCCTCACCAATATTTATCTCTTTTTCTTCTCTCACTAATTACATAGCAGATCTAAGGAGAAATACAATGCTTGTTTGGAGTAGAACAAAAAGAGTGATCATGGTTCGTTCAAAGTATATCTGCTTCTAGCCTGGAACAAATGTATATATACTTCGTGAGGCCTTCTTGACTCGTGAATCTTGAGAGATTACAAACCCAAGGGAGTTGATCCTTGAAAGGAATCATAAATTGATTCTTTCCAAGAATAAGGTCAAGTTTCTGTTGATCTTCCTTGATTTGTGGTCTTAACAGGCTTTTCATCCACTAGGCATATCTTTTCTGTTACTTGAGTGATCGGCGATGGATCCCTTGATTTCTAAGTTCAACGATCTCCAGTAATCTTGTTTCTCATTGATTTGGGACCTTCCTATAATAGCTTCCGTCAATAATCTATCAAATCATTGATTGATTCTTCTTCCGGATCTTCGCTGCTTCTTCCTTTTTCATCTCTAATCATTGATTTTTTTCCTTTGATTTTCTTCTAGATCTCCCGTTAGTAGATTGTTTCCTTAATCCATACTTGAATGATAGGGCTTCTTGATTTCTTTGTTTTATCCCTTGTGATCCTGCACCAAATGTGATATATTATTTTTCATCATTGAAACTCCTATTTAACAAAAACCATTTTGTCTCTTCCCAGTGCAGGTGATCCTGATATCTTGGAAAAGCTAGCCTCCATCAATGACAAATTGACTGTCATCAAGGACTCTCTAACCTTATGCAAAGCACAATTGAAGATGTACATGGAGTGTCAAAGGAGATAGGCTCTGACATGTCTAAGATCCGACTGCAGATTCTCTCGACAACAAAAAATTGCAGTAAAGGCTTTTAAAGAGGTGCACGACAGAATTGATGGGATCTCTATTACGGTGAATACTAGTTTTGATCGCCTCAATGAGGCTGTCTGCAATACCCTTATCTACTTTCTGCACCGTTGATGCATGGTTGTTTAAAACAATTTTTTTTGCTTCTTTTGAGATTGATGTTTCGGTCATGGATTGTATTATTAAGACAACTACTTCTGTTTTTGCATGCTAAAGTAGGTTATAACTTTTTGTTGATGCTAAAGGGGGAGAAAGTAAGCAGGTTTAAGGGCATGTATTCCCTGTTATTGGTAGTTGTTCTGTGTTCTGTAAATTTTCTTACAGATGTTTTGTGTCTCCAGGAAACTTGCAGGTACATTATATAGTATACAATTGAGGGGGAGTCGACTAGTCATATCTGACAAGAAACACAGATTGAGGGACTACAACAAACTTTAAGTCGATTGATAAATAGGAAAGTAAACTGATGTTATTACATTATTAATTTGTCATCATCAAAAAGGGGAAGATTGTTAGATCTAAGTTGATTTTAATGATGCAAAATAACGAATTATTCTTTATGTGCAGAAATATTCCTTAAGCAATAGAAAGGAAGCATCGAAGAATCAAGACGAAAAAGGAAGGAGTAGCGAAAAATCAAAGGAAAAATAAATCAAGAATTCGGCATGAGATCAAGGATGATATTATAGGAAGGACCTCAATCAGAGGAAATCAAGGGAACGAAATTATGCACTAAAGATTCCTCCATGTAAGGACGTCAATCGAAGCCGAGATCAAGGGATGTAATTTGATATTCCAAATAACGAAAATATCCACTCAACAAAGGAAGAATCCAATCAAGACCACAAGTCAAGGTAAATCAACAGAAGAAATATTCTATTCTTGGAAAGAATCAATAACGATTCCTTTTTGAGATCAACTCCCTTGGGTTTGCAATCTCTCAAGATTCACAAGTCATATAGGCCTCACAGAGTATAAATATTCACTGCACCAGCTTGGAACGGATATACTTTGATCGAACCACTATCAATCACTCTTTTTGTTCTACTCCAAGTAAGTATTGTACTCCACTCTACATCTACTGTATAACTAGGGAGAGAAGAAAGAGAGGAAAATTACTGGTGAGGCATTGTATCAATAAGCGAGAAAAAACATAGTGACTAAGCTGTTGGTGTAAAACTACATCAACTCTCTTGTACCGAGTTACTTCAAATAATGAAAGAGAACACTGTTGCAACCCAAGGGGACTGGACGTAGGATTCACATTGAATCCGAACCAGTATAAAAATACTGGTGTCTTTAATTCCTGCATTTTATTTCTGCTCTATTTATATTATGTTCTCACATTCAGTCAACTAATTGGTAAACTAGTCAACTACTTAGGGTACAAAAAGAAAAATCGATAATTCATCCCCCCCTCCCCTCCTCCCCCTCTTGTGCTTTCAACTAGGAGGGATCATATCATGAACGTAGATACTTGGAAAAAGGTGGGTGTGGCTCCCGTGAAGGATAAGATGCGAGAAAGGAGGTTGAGATGGTTTGTGCATGTGAAGAGGAGATGTACTGGCGCCCCGATGAGGAGGTGTGATTGGTTGAATATGGGAGGTATAATGAGAGGTATATCAATCTGATCTTGCTTCTTCTTCGCTTTTGTTACCATCTTGTTGTTGTTACTGCTTTTTCCATGTCTTTTTCCATTACTTTATTTCCTTTGCTTTATTGTTACGACTATGCTGAACCATGTGTTCATTGGAAATAGCCTCTCCATTTATACAAGGTAGGGGTAAGATTTTTGCATACACGCTATCATCTCCAGAATCCACTTACGAGATTTTACTGGATTTGTTATTGTTGTTGTATAATCCGAGAAATAATGACTTAAACGACATACAAGATGACTAGCCATCCAACTCAAAGAAACCAATCTCACAATGGATTAACGAGACAAAAAAGAAAGTGAAACTGTATATGGATACAACAAAAAATTTGAGTGCACAAGTAGGGACAAGTGACAACATGGATTATGTAACTTTTAGAAAATGGGCTTCACATGAATGCAAAAATCATCACACAAAACACCCATGTTCCAAAATATTTCCGGTTTGCAAGCTCCAAAAACTCTTTTTATATGCACATGATTAAAAAAGGTTTCCACTCTTGGACACGTCCATTTGGAGTTCCTTATATATTTGCATGAATGCTTCTTTCTTGATACCTTACTTGATTATCAAAACCTACCACCTTTAGTTCTTTAGTCTCTCACAATTCTTGATTTTTCCATCAACATTATGGCCAACTCAAATTCCATGCTGAGTTTAGTGTTATTTCTTGTTCTATTACTATTCTTTGCAGAAGTAAATACTTCAACAGCGACGAGCTATCGGGGCTTTAAAAGCATGAAAAAAAAGATAGATAGCCAGCAGATTTTACGTGAAATATGTTCTAATTTGGGGAAAACACTGATGGAAACTAAAAGGAGGGTAGTATTGGTGGATGCAGATAGAGTAGTACCTGGAGGACCAGATCCACGACATCATTAACAATAGAGTCAACGGGTTCAGAACGGATATTGTAATATATTTTATCCTATATTTTTTTTTCTTTTCTTTTTTTTGTATAAGTGGTTCGAGCCGAAAGGAGTGAATTCAGTTGAACCTGCTCCAGAATCCACCTCTGATTGGCAACTACCTTTGAAATGTGAATCTTGTCATTCCAAAATTCCATGAAAGTAAAAATGGACTTTGTATGAAAATACGTATAAGAGCTGTATTATTTTGTCTTCAAAAGAGACGATATCGTATGTTATTTCATCTATGGAAGCCTATATTGACACCATGTTGTAATTGACTCAAATTAAAGTGAGAAAAAAATTCAGAAAAAGATTGTTTATTTTCTCTTTCATTAATTATTTTATATTCTCTACGTACACTTATATATTTTGGCAACCCCGGCTTTTCACTTCTCCAATAAAGGAGGGGAGATAGTTATTAAGTAGTACTATTTGGGAATTGGGATCCTAGGATCTTAATGTAATCTTTTCCTCTTTTACTTAATTTTCTGCATATAATATAGAGTAACATGGCAAAAGCTAAAAAGAGTCTAAACTTAATTTACAAACAGTTCAAGCATATTGAAAATTGCTTCATCAAATATTTTCGGAACGCTAATAGCCTAGGCCAACCAAATTTAGTAATGTCGAACCGGTTCTATTAGAAAATACAGTTGTCTCTCATCAATTTTTGAGTACTTTTCAAAGAGTAATCCTGAGCTACTCCACTCACTGCATTTAATTTTGGATCGAATATTCATATTCATTCACTAAGAAAAAGAAATCAAACAAGAAACGCATGATCCCCTGCCTAGCACCAGTGGCGAAGCTAGAATTTCTCCAAGGGCGTTCAAATTTAAAAGAAGTGAAAAAAATTTCCGATAAAGGATGTTCAATATGTTTTATATATTTGTAAAACGTAATATTTTACCTATGTATACAATGCAATTTTTCGACGAAGGGTGGTCAGTTGATCACCCTTATGACCAATTGGCTTCGCCACTGCCTAGCACCAATGGCTCTCAACTGATACCCCTTTAGATAGTAAAAATTATTTTTATGTATATACATTATGTATTGGATCCCCTTGACTTCTTTGTATATTTATTTTATTAAATTTAATACCCTTTAGTGAAAATCCTAGCTCTGCTACTGTCTTGAACTATTTCACTTAATATATATCAGCAATATGTTAATCTTAAGTATAATTATTTTAGTATTGTCATTTCCAAAGGGATGTCACAAGTGTCAAAGACAGCAGTATGTAAAACCTTTTTGTAATTGGCCCAGAAGTACCAATTGTGTTTTCCTTTAATTATTATAGAAAAGGGAAATTTTTTTACCACATTTTTATTATTGTATATTTTTTGTAATATTTAATTAGCGACTGTAATTATTTTTGAGCGATGGACTATATATGTTAAAAGCCCAATAGAAAATCTAATATTATTTGCATATTAAATAGGCATGTGTATCCAGTGGCCCATGAAGCCCACAATGCCTTGTACTAGGAGGTCCAGAGCCCTGTAAATCAGCCTGGAAATTTAAAAAGGCGGAATAGCCTAGTAAACCCTTGTACTTGTTCCAGTTTGACATTCCGGTCCTCCTGCTTCACTTGTTCCCATTCAGACACTTCTACGTGTTCAAAATTATTATCTTAAACCCCTCTGACTGAACTGTATAGAGAGAGAAAGAAGGATCTGCACATGGTGTTTATTGACCTAGAGAAAGCGTATGACAAGGTTCCAAGAGAAGTTCTCTGGAGATGCTTGGAGACAAAAGGTGTGTCGGTTCCCTACATTATGGCGATTAGGGACATGTATGATGGGGCTAAGACTCGGGTTAGGACAGTAGGAGGCAACTCTGAGCATTTTCCGGTTGAAATGGGGTTACACCAAGGCTCTGCGCTCAGTCCGTTCTTATTCGCCCTGGTGATGGATGCATTAACAAACCATATTCAAGGGGATGTGCCATGGTGCATGCTATTTGCCGATGACATAGTTCTGATTGATGAGTCACGAGCCGGTGTTAACGAAAGACTAGAAGTTTGGAGACAGACTCTTGAGTCTAAAGGTTTCAAGCTGAGCAGAACGAAGACGGAATACCTGGAGTGTAAGTTCAGCACTGAGCCGGGGGAAGTGGGCATGGATGTGAGGCTTGAATCACAGGTTATCCCTAGTAGAGGCAGCTTCAAGTACCTAATTCTATAAAGCGGTGGTTAGACCGGCCATGATGTATGGGGCTGAGTGTTGGCCTGTTAAGAACTCACATATCCAAAAGATGAAAGTAGCAGAAATGAGGATGTTGAGGTGGATGTGCGGGCACACTAGGATGGACAAGATTAGAAATGATGATTTTATTATATGNGTTCGGACATGTTCAGAGGAGAAGCCCAGATGCTCCAGTAAGGAGGTGTGAGCGACTGGTTGTGGAGGGCACGAGAAGAGGTAGAGGGCGGCCTAAGAAGTATTGGGGAGAAGTGATCAGGCAGGATATGGCGAGGCTTCATATTTCCGAGGACATGACACTTGATAGGAAGTTGTGGAGGTCGAGTATTACGGTTGTAGGCTAGGAGGTAGTTGAGTCTTGCGTTACCTTGTACTGTTGTGAGCATAGTCTGGTAGGGTTTTTATCTGAGATAGCTAGGGGCATTGTCGTGTCTTACTATTTTCTCTTTTCGGTGCAGGACCTATTTACTAGCCATCATTTTGTTTTTGTTTTTGCATTTTCCCTTCTGCATTTTATGTTCCTATTTTTTCTATGATCTCTGTGGTGAAACTAACATTCTCTCCTTTTTGTCTCCTTTTTGTTTTTCTTCTTATCTTGATCCGAGGGTCTTCTGGAAACAGCCTCCCTACCCCGAAGGGGTAAGGATAAGGTCTGCGTACATACTACCCTCCCCAGACCCCACTTGTGGGATTTTTACTGGGTTGTTGTTGTTATTGTTGTATGTGACATAGATAAAACTGAGGTGGATAAAATGCTCTGTACAATCAGTGCACAAAAGCGTGAATTTGTGATTCTAATTTTTAGAAGAAAAAATTGAAATAAAAAATATATAAAATAATAGTAAAGTATAAAGTAAAACAACAAACACCCAATTTATCTTCAAACCCACGCTTGAAGACACAATCTTCTTCAAAACCAGTCATGTCCATACGTTGCCGTGGCCTCCTTTTCAACATCTACCATCACTTCCAACATCTTCTCACTTATACCTCCAATGGTCTATACTATTTTCTGTTAGTAGACTGTATTTGTAAAATAATTCTGGAAATATAAATGAACATAAATAGAAATGAACATAAACAGAAAACCAATTCGAGCCCACTGAATTCATAGTATTTCCTTAAGGAATTTAATCCCCTCCTAGTACCCAAGGTTATGGATTATTTCCTCCCAGGATAGAACGAATTACACACTGGTGTAGTGGTACTTCAAACCCCAGTGTTTCAGCGAACACAAAGTTCGGTAGCAAATCACACTTACTTTTGCTTTGTTTGATGCTAAAAGTATGCAGAAGAATGAGAAGAAACTCAAAAAATCGTAGTGAAATTCTGAGCAGAATAGTGTTGTATTTATAGCCAAAGTTGGGCTGAAATCTGAAAAGGTGTAACTCTTCAGAATGACTATTTATGCAAAACGGCCACAACATAAATGCCATTACATAAATGGCCATTTACTCAACAATAAAGAGGGAAAATAAAGAGGAAAAATTGAAGAAGGTAGTTACTTTTCTGTTACCAAAACAGAAAAACGGATTGGATTTAATATTAATATTTAATATTAATATTCTATTATTAAAACAAACATTTAATAACATTTCTGTTAATATTTTACTATTAACAAATAAATTTGGTCCAAAAAATTAATCAATCAATCGATCATTTGACCAAATCTAAATCCAAATCCGAATCTGAATCTGAATCCGAAGCCGAAGCGGTAGCCGAAGCCGTAGCCGAAGCCGAGCCGAGCGAGCGACGACGACGACGGCATGAGGCTTGCCTTCTTCTCAACTCTTTAAGAGCTAGAAGAAGAGCAATTGCTTGTATACCCATAAAAAACCTCTTCCTCTTCAAATATGGGACAATGTCCATTTGCCAAGGGGAGGAAACTTAAAATTTTACTCAAAAATTTTATTTCCCTCCATTTCCCATTCACCCTCTTTTATGTATTTAATATATATTAAATAAAAAAACCCAATAATCCCCCACATGAATGGGGAATGGCTATATCACGGAAGTATGCATGAAAAACTGTGTGATTCGCAAGCAAGGATTAATTGCATCTGGATAAGCAGGTTTCCCTTTGAACTTTCCGTAGTGAACTTATGTCGGATATACTCGATCAATCGGTAGATTTGATATCTTTGAATCGTCGAACTTTGGTGTACACCTAGACAACCACAAGTCACACAACCAACCCTTAACCGTCTTTGGTTCTCATTGTTGTGTTCGTTTCAGCCATGAACACCGCCTGGTTTCATAAGTGCGTAGAGAACTGGCCTTACAAAGTTCTCCTTGGAGCGGCTAACACTTCACACTTACATAGGTGATTCCTAAGCGTGTCATCTCGTAGATACACTATTTGATATACCCCGTATCAAATTTAGAAATCATTAAAAAGCCTTAATGCTTTATCCTTGGTACTGAACATTGTCTCATCGCGAGAATGGACCAAAAGTTTAGTTGACAATGTTGAACCGTCATTAATGACTTTGTTTGATCTCCTTGAACCTAGATCTTGGGATCTCCAGTCTTCTAGGTAGAGTTACCGCCACTATGACTTGTTCTCGGCCACAGTCCCATTCCCCTTGATGACTTTTCAACTACCTCTCTAGTTAGGCCTTTTGTAAGTGGATCCGACACATTATCACTTGACTTTACATAGTCAATCGTGATAATTCCTCTAGAGAGTAATTGTCTAACGGTTTTATGTCTTCGTCGTATATGACGAGATTTACCGTTATACATAACGCTCCCAGCCCTTCCAATTGTCGCTTGACTATCACAATGTATGCATATTGGTGCCAATGGTTTAGTCCAAAATGGAATATCTTCCAAGAAATTCCGGAGCCATTCAGCTTTTTCACCGGCTTTATCCAAGGCTATGAACTCAGCCTCCATTGTAGAGCGGGCAATACAAGTTTGTTTGGACGACTTCCAAGATACCGCTCCTCCACCTATAGTGAATACATATCCACTTGTGGACTTGGAATTAGTTGATCCGGTGATCCAATTTGCACCACAGTATTCCCTCAATGACCGCAGGATATTTACTGTAGTGCAAAGCAAAGTCCTGGGTATGTAT